ACAGAAAAGAAATAAAGAATCATCAGACTGTGTTATTAATAGTTTAATAAGCGAGTTAAGTTATACAGTTAGATAGTAAAGAAGCTACACTTGAACCTTTGATAACCACGAATCTAAAGCCGCAATGGCAATAAGTACATATCTTTCAATAATCACCCTAAATATAAATGAACTGAATGCACCAATCAAAAGACACAGAGTAACAGAATGGATAAAAAAACAAGACCCATCTCTATGCTCCTTACAAGAGACTCACCTCAAACCCAAAGACATGCACAGACTAAAAGTCAATGGATGGAAAAAGATATTTCATGCAAACAACAGGGGGAAAAAGCAGGTATTGCAATACTAGTATCAGACAAAATAGACTTCAAAACAAAGAAAGAAACAAGAGATAATGAAAGACACTACATACTGATAAAGGGCTCAATCCAACAAGAGGCTATAACCATTATAAACATATATGCACCCAATACAGGAGCACCAACACATGTGAAACAAATACTAACAGAATTAAAGGAGGAAACAGAATGCAGTGCATTCATTTTAGGAGACTTCAACATACCACTCACTCCAAAGAACAAATTCACCAGACAGAAAATAAGTAAGGACACATAGGCACTGGACAACATACAAGAACAGATGGACCTAATAGACATCTATAGAACTCTACGTCCAAAAGCAACAGGATACACATTCTTCTCAAGTGCACATGGAACATTTTCCAGAGTAGACCACATACAAGGCCACAAAAAGAGACTCAGTAAATTCAAAAACATTGAAATTGTATCAACCAACTTCTTAGACTGCAAAAGTATAAAACTAGAAATAAATTGTACAAAGAAAACAGAAAGGCTCACAAACACATGGAGGCTTAACAACATGCTCCAAAATAATCAATGGATCAATGACCAAATTAAAAGAGATCCAGCGATATATGGAAACAAATGACAACAACAACACAAAGCCCCAACTTTTGTGGGGCTCAGAGAAGGCAGTTCTAAGAGGAAAGTATATAGCAATCCAGGCCTATTTTAAAAAAGGAAGAACAATTCCAAATGAATAGTCTAAAGTCACAATTATTGAAACTGGAAAAAGAAGAGCAAATGAGGCCTAAAGTCAGCAGAAGGAGGGATATAATAAAGATCACAGAAGAAATAAATAAAATTGAGAAGTATAAAACAATAGAAAAAAATCAATGAAACCAAGAGCTGGTTCTTTGAGAAAATAAACAAAATAGATAAGCCTCTAGCCAGACTTTAGAGAAAAAGAGAATCAACACATCAACAGAATCAGAAACGAGAAAGGAAACATCATGAGGGACACCACAGAAATACAAAGAATTATTAGAGAATACTGTGAAAACCTATATGCTAACAAGCTGGAAAACCTAGAAGAAATGGACAACTTCCTAGAAAAATACGACCTTCCAAGACTGACCAAGGAAAAAACAGAAAATCTAAAGAGACCTATTACCAGTAACAAAATCAAATCGGTAATCAAAAAACTACCCAAAAGCAAAACCCCCGGGGCCAGATGGATTCACCACAGAATTTTATCAGACATACAGAGAAGACATAATACCCATTCTCCTTAAAGTTTTCCAAAAAATAAAGAGGAGGGAATATTTCCAAACTCATTCTATGAAGCCAGCATCTCTTTAATACCAAAACCAGGCAAAGACCCCACCTAAAGAGAAAATTACAGATTAATATCACTGATGAACATAGATGGACAAATACTGAACAAAATATTAGCAAACAATTCCAAAATACATCAAGAGGATCATACACCATGATCAAGTAGTATTCATCTCAGGGATGCAAGGATGGTACAACATTCAAAAATCCATCAACATCATCCAGCACATAAACAAAAAAGGACAAAAACCACATGATCATCTCCATAGACACTGAAAAAGCATTCAACAAAATTCAACATCCATTCATGATAAAAACTCTCAACAAAATGGGTATAGAGGGTAAGTACCTCAACATAATAAAGGCCATATATGATAAGCCCACAGCCAACATCATACTGAACAGCAAGAAGTGGAAAGCTTTTCCTCTAAGATTGGGAACAAGACAGGGATTCCCACTCTCCCCACTGTTATTTAACATAGTACTGGAGGTCCTAGCCATGGCAATCAGAGAAAACAAAGAAATACAAGGCATTCAGACTGGTAAAGAAGAAGTCAAACTGTCACTATTTGCAGATGACATGATATTGTACATAAAAAAGCCCTAAAGACTCTACTCCAAAACTGCTAGAACTGGTACTGAATTCAGCAACGTTGCAGGATATGAAATTAATACACAGAAATCTGTTGGTTTCCTATACACTAACAATGAACTAGCAGAAAGAGAATTCAGGAAAGCAATTCCATTCACAACTAAATCAAAAAGAATAAAATACCTAGGAATAAACCTAACCAAGGAAGTGAAAGACCTATACCCTGAAAACTATAAGACACCCTTAAGCGAAATTAAAGAGGACACTAACAAATGGAAACTCATCCCATGCTCTTGGCTATGAAGAATTCATATTGTCAAAATGGCCATCCTGCCTAAAACAATCTACAGATTCAAGGCAATCCCTATCAAAATACCAAGACCATTGTTCAACGAATGGGGACAAATATTTCTAAAATAGCCAAAGACCCCAAATAGCCAAAGCAATCCCAAGAAGGAAGAATAAAGTCAGGGGAACCTCGCTTCCCAACTTCAAGCTCTACTATAAAGCCATGGTAATAAAGACAATTTGGTTCTGGCACAAGAACAGAGTCACAGACCAGTGGAACAGAATAGAGACTCCAAATATTAACCCAAACATATATATAGTCAATTAATATACGATGAAGGAGCCATGGACATATAATCAGGAAATGACAGTCTCTTCAATAGCTGGTGTTGGCAAAACTGGACAGCCACATGTAAGAGAATGAAACTGAATCATTGTCTAACCCCATACACAAAAATAAATTCGAAATGGATCAAAGACCAGAATGTAAGTCATGAAACCATAAAACTCTTAGAAAAGAGCATAGGTAAAAATCTCTTGGACATAAACATGAGCGACTTCTTCATGAAGATATTTCCCCGGGCAAGGGAAACAAAAGCAAAAATGAACAAGTGGTACTATATCAAGCTGAAAGGCTTCTGTACAGCAAAAGACACCATCAATAGAACAAAAAGGTACCCTACAGTATGGGAGAATATATTTGTAAATGACAGATCCGATAAAGGCTTGACATCGAAAATACATAAAGAGTTCACGCACCTCAACAAACAAACAGCAAATAATCCAATTAAAAAATGGGCAGAAGAACTGAACAGACAGGTCTCCAAAAATGAAATTCAGATGGCCAACAGATACATGAAAGATGCTCCACATCGCTAGTTATCAGAGAAATGCAAATTAAAAGCACAATGAGATATCACCTCACACCAGTAAGGATGGCTACCATCCAAAAGACAAACAACAACAAATGTTGGCGAGGTTGTGGAGAAAGGGGAGTCCTCCTACACTGCTGGTGGGAATGTAAATTAGTTCAACCGTTGTGGAAAGCAGTATGGAGGTTCCTCAAAAAGCTCAAAATAGAAATACCATTTGACTCATGAATTTCACTTCTAGGAATTTACCATAAGAATGCAGCAGCCCAGTTTGAAAAAGATAGATGCACCCCTATGTTTATCGCAGCACTATTTACAGTAGCCAAGAAATGGAAGCAACCTAAGTGTCCATCAGTAGATGAATGGATAAAGAAGATGTGGTACATATAGACAGTGGAATATTCTTCAGCCATAAGAAGAAAACAGATCCTACCATTTGCAACAACATGGATGGAAATAGAGGGTATTATGCTCAGTGAAATAAGCCAGGCGAAGAAAGACAAGTACCAAATGATTTCACTCATATGTGGAGTATAAGAACAAAGAAAAACTGAAGGAACAAAACAGCAGTAGAATCACAGAACCCAAGAATGGGCTAACAGTTACCAAAGAGAAAGGGACTGGGGAGGATGGGTGGGAAGGGAGGGATAAGGGGAGAGGGGAAAGAAAGTGGGTATTAAGATTAACATATATAATGTTGGTGGGGTGGGGACGGGGAGGGCTGTGCAACACAGAGAAGACAAGTAGTGATCCTACAGCATCTTACTATGCTGATGAACAGTGACTGTAATGGGGTTTGTTGGGGGGACTTGGTGATGGGGGAGTCTAGTAAGCATAATGTTCTTCATGTAATTGTAGATTAGTGATACGAAAAAAAAAAACGGTGGGAAGAGGGAATCTAGGAAGGTAATAAGAAAAAAGTATAGAATAACCAATTAGAAACTAAAACTTTGTAGAATGTAAATATTGTGTGCATTTGGGATTTGAGGTAGTTATTCAAGTAGAGTCAGAGATTGAATAATTGGATTCTAGAATCTGTTTCAAGGGAAAAATCTGGAGTCATCCTTAGACTTAGAAAACACTAAGAGGAAGCGTGATAGTTTTTGATATCTCAAGCTCTCAATTAAAAGGGAGTATTTCATGTTCTTCCAAAGGGCAGAAGTTGTAGTGGGAAGATTCTGGTTAATATTAAGGGAGAATCACCAGGTAAAAGCCAGTACCCTGAGTCTCCCTCATGGAGGGCCAAAACAGTGTGTGAGCCCAGCCAGTGCCAACAGTGGAGAAACTCACGGCTTTGGGGTTGGCCTGGGTTGTGCTGCCATCATAGGCCTACAGAAAACCAGACAGACTGAGGTTCTCTTAAAAAATGGTGACTGAGTCTGGTTAAGGGATTATGTGACTTTTTTTTCTTAATCCCACCTTATTGGTATGTAAACAGTAATTTGGTTTAAGCATTGCTGATTCATTCTGGACATTTCTTCCAATATTTCAATACAGACATAGAGATTATATATTTTATATAACTGTCACTGTAAGAATTACTCTAAGTCTCACTCACTTTTCCCACAATATATCCCCTTTTCTCCTTGCCATAGGATAAAAAAGAACATGGGCTTTTTAAGTCCAGTATGTGTTCTTTTCTTCTTTCTTGGAGTCAAAATATATTGCCAATATGAAAGTCCTCAGTGGGATGAAGATTACGACCAAGAGCCAGATGATGTATATCAACCAGAATTCCAATTTCATCAAAATGTAGACTATGGAGCTCCTTTTCATCAGTATATGCTAGGCTGTGCTTCTGAATGCTTCTGTCCACCTAGCTTCCCCTTGTCAATGTACTGTGATAATCGCAAACTCAAGACTGTCCCAAACATCCCAGCACACATTCAGCAGGTCTATCTTCAGTGCAATGAAATTGAAGCCGTGCCTGCAGATTCATTCACAAATGCGACTCATCTTAAAGAAATCAATCTCAGCCACAACAGAATTAAATCGCAGAAGATTGATCATGGTGCGTTTGCTAAGCTGTCAAACCTATTGCAGCTTCACCTACAGCATAATGATTTAGTAGAATTTCCGTTTCCTCTTCCTAAGTCTTTGGAAAGACTTCTCCTTGGTCACAATGAGATCTCCAGACTGCAGACAAATGCCTTGGATAGGCTAGTAAACTTGACCATGCTCGATCTCTGCTATAATCATATTGATGACTCTATGTTACAAGGAAAAATCCTTGCCAAAATGGAAAAATTAATGCAACTCAACCTATGTAACAACAGGTTAGAATCAATGCCATCTGGTTTGCCTTCTTCACTTATGTATCTGTCTTTAGAGAATAATTCAATTTCTTCTATACCAGAAAATTACTTCAACAGACTTCCAAACCTTCATGCTCTAAGAATGTCACACAACAAACTACAAGATGTCCCACACAATATGTTTAATCTGTCCAGCCTCATACAGCTCAACATTGGGCACAACAAACTGAAGCGAGCATTTTATATCCCAAGAAATTTAGAGCACCTATACATAGAAAATAATGAAATTGAAAGTACGTAAAATTTTATTATTTCTTACAAACAGAAAGAATAGCATTTTTACCTTTTTAAAGAACAAGTCTTTAAAAATCTGTTTTACCCATTGCTGAAAAGGGTTGTTTTGAATTTGGCTAAGAAAATGACAGAAACTGGCCCCAGAGAAATGTGTGCTATAAAAATATAGTCTTTTCTGTTCAATTTTATCATGTTAAACATTGAGAAACTGTACAGTTTATGAAGAAATATGAACATCCTTAGTAATGGACTATGGGTGATTTTTCACTTTTTTCTTTTTGAGATTGTTTCTCCCGAGAATGCATTATTTACATAATTTATTATTTAAATAATTACTTTAAAAAGCCAATGAAGTCATCATTTATTTTGATAACATAAGATTTACTTAGTTTCACTTTCATTTTACTGATGACTATAAAATAATTAAACCTAATTCTAAGTATTTTAATTGATAAAACCATACACCATATAACACTTTAATAGAACCCAATATAAGACTGTGGATGTGATGCAGCAGGATTAACTTTTCATTTCTGTTTTCCAGGTATCAATGTTACAGTGATGTGTCCTTCTGTTGACCTACTACATTACAACCATTTAACCTACATTCGTGTGGACCAAAATAAGCTAAAAGAGCCAATAAGCTCATACATTTTGCTCTGCTTCCCGCATATCCGCAGTATCTATTATGGTGAACAAAGAAGCACCAATGGTCAGACAATACAACTGAAGACCCAAGTCTTTGGAAGATTTCAAGATGATGCTGACAGTGACGATGATGATGACCACGAAGGCCCAGAACGTGGAGCGGCAGAAGGAGACGTGGAGCCCCACTATCATGGAGGGCAAGAGTGGCAAACTATCTAGGAATACATTTATACTCCACAAAATATTGCTCAATATAAATCTAAGCATGCATAGCTCACAGTAATACACCTAGAATAATATATTAGTGTAAGATGAAACTGAATGTAAGTTGTTGCTAACAGTGCATTAGCTCATTTTATTAAAAATATAATTAGCATAAGTGGGAATAAAAAACTAAACTTTAAACACAACAATATTATCATGTTGAGAAAAAAAGTATGCCATTTCTATTAACAGTACTTTTCCTAAGAATGATGGAAAAAGCATTACAGAAGCTGAGACCTGTAGGCCATGCACTCTCAGTCACCAGGACAGCGTTAAATGCCAGGTGGCTGCAGCATGGAATAGGCAGCCATCCATGTAAGGAGTAATTATTTTCTTTGACCAAACCTTCAAAAGTTTTCACACTTGTACTAGAGATCTCCATGACATCCCCAACCCCACTCCACCCTTTTGAGCGATGGATGGTATTTTTGATTTTCAAAAGAGGCTATCCTACTGTTAGGCAGGAAAATAGATACGGGCGGATGGAAAGAGAAAAAGGCCAGAAAGTCCACTAAAAGGACCCAAAATTAATCAATTAAAGCTCAAAAGGCCAAGAGCAACTTGGCCTGGAATGTTTGAATGTTCCCCAGATAAAGGAGGGTACGTCAGCACAGCCCATCTCTTTATTGTTAATCATGCAGGCCCAGCTTACTTCTTTACCTTTATTTACTTATATGCTGTTTTTTTCTCCTTCCAGACCTAATTAAGTAGTCTGTAACCTAGGCAACTAATTTAGCATGCGGGCCCAGCTGTAAACAACACAGTAAAAGGCAGGAAAGATTCCATCTTAAAGACTGTATTTTAATACCCATGAATTTAAAAATGTAAGATTCTTAACTTACTCTTTAGCAAACAGACAATTGCTCAGCCCACCTTGGGGGCTGGGGAGGCAGCCTGTGTGATCTGCTCCCAGACCAGGACTCCGGTATCCCACGGAAAATCAGAGCAGGAAGTTCCTTGTGTTAAGTTAATTCTGATTATTCAAAAGAGCACTTAACAAGTCACATTCCTAAAGAATCCTTAAAAAGGGGAACCCCCGGTCTTTCGGTGCATTCCTCTCTCTGGGGTCGCCCGCACTTTCTAAGTGTGTATCCTTTTTAATTTTTTCCCAACCTTTCTGGGGCGCCTCTTCTCTAGGGCAGCCCACACTTCCCTTTCTCCAACTGTGCTCCTTTTGCCTTAAATAAACTTCTCACTTAAACACATTGTCTCTGTGCTTTTCCAGTAGTAAGTGTTTTATTACTTTGCTTTGTCATTCTAATCATCCCAATTCTGGCTTTAACCTTCACTCTGTCCTATCTCAGACAAGTAATGAGAGGCTGCTGAGAGCTCAGACCTGGGCTTGCAAATTACCGTCGCCATCCAGGCAGGGAACTGCATTTTACAGTCATGCTCTTTAGTAACCTGTTTGAAAGTCTCTCTTCTTTACCTATAGGAAGTTCACAGGACATAATCTCACTCCACCTAGTGCTCTGGGCACTTCCCCAAAGCCTGGGATGGTAGGGACTCGGTCCCCACGCCGTGCAGATCCAAGCAGACGCTGGACGCCAGGTGACCATGGCTTAAGGAGTTAGCAGGGGTTGTACCCCATGCTGAGCAGCTGTTCAGTGAACTTCCTTTATTATTCTATTCTGTCATTCCCTAACACTCTTACTTTAATGAATTCCTTCCTCACTTTGTCCTCTGACTTCCCTGTGTCACCAAACCAAACCCTGCCTAACATATTTTGGTGCCGTGCCTCGGATGGATTTCCATCCCTGGTAAGCAGAACCACCCTAACACTACTAAGGATCCAAGGCATATATAGATTCATGAAATGTCTTGTTTGTCTCTCAGAGCACCAAAACAGTAAAATTTTAAGCCCTTTATTTTAGTAACTAGAAAACACCAAATTATCTCATCACAACTGTATTTTAGCAAATCTCAGCAATTGTTTAAAACAATCTTTACTGTTCCATTTTTAACTGGGATCATGTGTTTATAGTAAATATCTGAGAGAAAAGTTTCTTTTTTTAGTTACAAAGATTTGCTAATAAATAACTGCTTTGTTCATAAGGTTAAGTTAATTTAGCACAAGAAAGTACATCAACACTATTAAACATTCTGTTTTCTTAGCAAAATAAATTAGAAACCTATATGAGTATCAGCCAATGCTTTATTTTAAAATTTGGACAGGCTTTGGTATCTTCTTTAAAACCTTAACAATCACATATTAATCTATCATTTTTAAGAATTTTAAGTATGTTATTTTAAGTATTTTAAGTATGTTAATGAGATGCTGTAACTAACTCCTGTGATGAATGTTCCTGATCACAAGGCTAACATCTCAAGAATCCCTCAGATAAGGAATAAACACAAGTCTGGGACTGCCTACACAGGGAACCCTAAGAAATAATAGTTTGGGCAAAATGCAAAGACCAGACAAGCAAAACTATTTTAGAATCAGTTTTCAAGTGGTGAATCTTTACTTTTCTGGAGATGACAGTTTAAAATGAAGCCCCTAATGTTCTCTCCCTCATGCTCTGTGAGCAGGTTATCAGCATTAAAAAATAATTAAGAAAGTAAGATCAAACAACTCATTCTAACACAAGGAAGAAAAGAAAATGCTAAGGTGGCATACAGGAACTATGAAAACAATGTGAACACAGGTATTGTAACTTCACTTCTGGCCCAGATGTGGTGAAGAAGCTGAAGACTTCAAGGAACCGGTGGAACCTTGATGTGTAAGTAGGAACAGAGTGGCAGGAGCAGAGAAAACAAGGTCCAGAGGTGAGATTAATTTAAAGACGTGGTAATTACTTATTTCACCTCTTGCACAGTTAAAAACCAAACCAAAACAACAACCGAAAAACCCTCCAATTTTCAGAATTCTGGATCTTCTATTCTTATCTCCTCCTGAATTGTAAGAATAGAAATAGGTTAGCATAAGCATAGCCATCTTAAAGGCCTAGAAGCCATTTTCTGAGTATGTGACTTAGAAAGAAAAACTGGAACTGGGTAAGGCCTTGAAAAACAAGCTAATCATGAGCACCGGGTGGTGGGCAGCTGTGGCCTTTAGTCAGCTAACCTTGGTCAGCTAATCCTACATACCAAGCTTATCATGCAGAACCTCCCTGACAATTGAGGAGTGGTCTTATCTTGCTCCTGCCTAACCCCAGGATGTATGTCTTGCAAGAATAATGTGCAGCTGTGGAAAATTACTATGAGTTAAGTGTTTTGAAAATGCTATATAAACCCTTGGCTTTGAGTGCTCGGGGTCCTTGTTGAGACCCGCTGCATCGGGCTGACTTGGACCTCAGCTAGCTAGCTGAATAAAGACTTTGCTTGAATTTACATCTCTATGCCTGTGTAGTTTGTTCTCTGGGGAAGCCTCGGAAGCCTGGACCCTAACAGAATAAATAAAAGAAAACATATTTAAATCGTCAGCCACAAGGAAGAATATAATAGCACAATTTAGCAATTCAAAACAAGGAATTTAAAACTAGATAAGCATGGGTGGAAGCCTGACTTCTAAACTGGTAAACAGCCTTTTAGCACTTCTACAAGGTGTTTCTCCAGGGCTGTCATAAGGACAGATAACAGAGCATTTAACAAAGAGCTTGTGTCACAGGGTTCCAGCAAGCAGTGGCTATAATCTCAATGGTCCAGCCCCGGTCAGCTGGATCTAAGTGCCCCCAGATATCAGCTGTGCTTTGCACACCTGGGTGCTCTGTCGGGACTCCCGAATGGACCGGATATCTCTTGGAGTTCCTTCTAAGATTCCACCCTTACAAAAGATTAGTTAACAAGACAGATACTACTAAAGGTTTCATTAGGGAGAGAAAAAAAGGTGCTTAAATAACATACTCATAACAAACACATTCCAAGTCCCTATTAGATAGCTCAGCTTTCCAAAGCACCCCTACACAGTAACCCATGGTGGGAGCAGAGGCACCCGCACCCCTCACAAGGCACCTGGCCATCCAGCTCTCCTGGCCAGAGGAAGGCCAAGTTCCTCCCACCTACTAGGAAAAAGAGGTCAACTCTCCTCTGGTTCCCGGTTCCCAAGGATGCATGCAAGCATCCCAGGTGTCCTTCAGCAGGGAGGATGAGGAGGCAGATCAACACCCATCGTTTATTACTCCAAATGCCCTGAGTAACTAATACTCAGCCCAAGTATTTCTTATAAATCAAAGCAAACAATCCCCAAGGCTTTCCTGAGGAGAAACTCAGGAATGAAGTGCCTCTTCAATGAGCATATCAAGATTGCAGTTGGTCCCAGAGCCCAGACAAAACCTGTTAATTTGATATTTACAATAGGAAAGAAATTCATCTATTTTCTCAGAAAACTTCAAAGTGTTAGGAAGGAAGGTACTCAGCTCCCTGTTGCAGGGAAGTCAGAGTGAGATGAGAAACCAAAGTCAAGAAAGCAAAGTCAGGTTTACAGTACTCTGGTGTAACAGAGCAGACCTGCCTAAGGTTAGACAGGCCCAGATGCTGTTCATTCTGAGGCCTCCTTTCTGTCGTTTTGGCAGGGCAGAGGGGTCCTTGATTGACAGCTCTCAGACTTACAGGCTTGTTCTGACTGGTGAAATGAGGACATGGGCTGTGCTGTGTTGTGCGTGGGCTTCTGATGTTTCTTTTCTGGGGAGACCCTAGACATTTCTGGAGTCACTTTTGGATGCTGTGGCTTCATCTAATTAACTCTCTGAGTCACTTTTTGGGGAACCCCTCTCTCCTTTTCATCCCACTTGTTTCTTTCTTTCTACTTAATAAAAATACTATTGTATTAGCTACTAGGCTGAACTGTGCTTGTGACCACTAACAAAGAAATCCAAATCACACCATGAACTCAAGCTTAGTTAACAAACATAAAGGCATAACATACATTTAAAGCTTTTAGAAAGGAAATATAAATAAATGATATTTCACAAATCTGCTCACAATAAAACTTGCTAAGAATGTTTATCTTGTGTTTGAATATTACCTGAAACACTATACATTTTCACTTTCTTCCTTGAGTTGGGACTGAGCTAAAATGCAGATGTATGCGTATCATGTAACACACTTAGCAAACCTTGTCTCTTCTGTATACTTCTACTGTTGCAAAGAATTCATATGATCCCAAGGACAGCTAGAACCCAAATCCTGGTTTCCTATTTCCAAATCCATTTTTTTCTAAATCTTGGAAATAAAGTGTAACAGTAGCTGGAAACAAAATTAAACTGTAAGAGCTAAAAATTCAAAGTTTCATATACGCTCCAATTTCCTAAATAAATATATAACTATTCCTGGCAACTAAATATCACAGTATCATGGACATGTTTGCACTGTGGATTCATATATGGAGATTCATGTGCTACTCAGAAAAATTAAGCTCACAAATATGTTTTTCAAAGGATCCCTTTCTTATATTGAGTCGTAATTCCCTTCGCTTTAAATTCCACCCTTTGGCTTGGGAATTATTGGGTTCTCACTTTATTTCATTTGACCAA